GAGATGGGTTGCAGCTGGAAGGGCATCCGCTGCATGAAAACTTGCTGGAAGTTGGCGGTTCATTCTGCTGTGGCCACCCCGGATTAATAAAGGGACTAAACCGACAAGAAAATGAATGAATGAATGAATTAATATCATCATAGTGTGAGCCAGGCTTAAATCCTGTCCTTGAATGTTACTTTTAATAGACTAAAATGATTTAAATCACAAATTTGATCACATGAATGTCCAACTGTATATCAATAATGATTTAATAGATTTAAACTCTGAAAACTGGACTGACACTGTTTCAGTTTACTAGAACTTCTATGTTAAGCTGCTTTAACACAGTCTACATTGTATAAGCACTGCAGAGATAAACATTGAACTAAATAAAAAGTTGAACCATTAGAGACTGGCTATATTCTCACACAGTGTTTAAATCCTTATGAACGTGATTTTTGCCTCTTAGGGTATTTTTATTACATGTTTTTACTAGAGTAAATTTTAAAGATGATGTTTGTGTTGTTATTTGTAGTCCGTTTGTGCTTGCAGTGTTGTTAGAATGAGTCAGTGAATGTACTTCAATCTTTTTGGTCAGGTTTTAAGAGTGTGGGATCCACGAACCTGTGCCAAACTCATGAAACTGAAGGGACACACAGACAACGTCAAATCTCTGCTGCTCAACAGAGACGGCACACAGGTGAGACCAAACCTGTGTTTTCAGCTGAAGTCATCTCTTTTTTAATAAAATAAACACCTATTGAGGTTTTTGCATGTTCATCTTTAAATTGGTCACACTTTACAAAAGGATGTATCATTAGTTGATGTATTTTTTATCATGAACTAAGTATGAACAACACTGCAGCATTTGTTAGTCATAGTTCAACATTTGTTAATGCATTATTAAAATATAACGTCATGCTTGTTAACATTAAGTAATGCACTGTGAGTTAACAAACATGAATAAATATTGAAATGCATGTATTGTGCATTTGTTCACGTTAATAAATATATGAACCACTACAACCTTCATAATCAATACAACATTAAAAGAAAACAATCCCTCCTGTGAATTTAGTTTTCCTTTTCAAATATTTCCCAAATGATGTTGAGCACATTCAGGAAATGTTCACAGTATTTCCTCTAATATTTTTTCTTCTGGATAGTCTTATTTGGTGTATTTTGGCTAGAATAAAAGCAGTTTTAATTGTTTTAAAGCTATTTCAAGGTCAAATTTATTAGCCCCCTTAAGCAATATTAGTTGGATTGTCTACAGAACAAACAAAGACTTGCCTAATTACCCTAACTTTACCCTAATCAACCTAGCTAAGCCTTTAAATGTCGCTTAAAGCTGAATGCTAGTATCCTGAAAAATATCTAGTGTGTTCATCTCTCTGTGTGTTTCTCAGTGTCTGTCAGGCAGTTCAGACGGGACGATCCGGCTCTGGTCTTTGGGTCAGCAGCGGTGCATCGCCACGTATCGCGTCCATGATGAAGGTGTGTGGGCTCTGCAGGTCAACGAGGCCTTCACACACGTTTACTCCGGCGGACGCGACCGCAAGATATACTGCACTGACCTGCGCAATCCTGACATACGGGTGCTCATCTGTGAAGAGAAGGCACCGGTGCTAAAGGTATGATCAGAATAAGTTATACTGGACTGCTTTTAATGTATACATGAAATCAAATCTAACCATGCTGGCTTCGTTCGCTCACTCTGCTAGTTTTGTGGTGAACATTTCATCTGTGCATAACAGTAACATAAATAAAATCGATTGCTCCTGTAATCTTTAATTAACATCTTAAAATGCACTTTTCTGTTTCGGAACAACCGAATCGATTCACAGGTGTGAAAGCACCCTCAATTGTCCGTAGTGTATGAAAGTAGATGAGTGTGTGTGGATGTTTCACAGAGATGGGTTACAGCTGGAAGGGCATCCGCTGCGTAAAACATGCTGGAAAAGTTGGTGGTTCATTCCGCTGTGGCGACCCTAGATTGATAAAGGGACTAAGCCGAAAAGAAAATGAATGAATGTAATGTAATGTAATGTAATCTCGATGATGCTAAATTACCATTTTAATTGTATTTATTTTTATTTTACATCATGGAGCTCATACATTTTAAATCAGCTTCTGCAGGTCTGCAGAAATGCCAGTGGCTTCAGCAGCTGTGTATAATGAGCAGGTATTAGAGAGTAAACTGAAACTGGTGGGGTGTGACCATGTTTTTGTCCTCTTTCAGATGGAGCTGGACCGGTCAGCAGATCCACACAACGCCATCTGGGTTTCCACCACCAAGTCCACAGTGAACAAATGGGTGAGTTCAGCTGGTGTTCATAGTTTACCCAACAACTGAACATTTACTCTGTATTCTCCCTCCCTCAAGTGGTTCGGAGGTGTGGGCAGCAAACATCATATTCCCACTTTCCTGCTGTTCGCTGCAAACATGTGGACCGACACAAAGAAAAATCAACAATAAGTGTTAATGGGTGAATTTCACTATTGCATTCGCTGAATAATTATTAGATATGATGCCTGAAGGCTGATTTGATTCTGCCAGAACCAAGACAATAATGATTGTAGTTTTCAATAATGGCTTGATTTCATTTTAATTTTTATAATATTTATAATTTTAATATTTTAATATTATTGAGTGCAGCCCTATATATATATATATATATATATATATATATATATATATATATATATACCAATCAGAATAATATATT